GTGTGTGTGTGTGTGTGTGTGTGTGTGTGTGTGTGTGTGTGTGTGTGAGTAAAAGGGGCGAGGATCAATGACGGACTGGCTATCTGGAGCACTGGGCCTTTTCCCAATGGGCTGCTTGACAATTGTGACTGATGCAATGTGAAATAGAATAAAGTCAACACCTGCTTCAATAGAAGGATGCAAATATATTTGAGTGTGTCCTCTGCCCACAGTGAAATCAGTCTGACCCTCTTTCCATGTGTTCCATTTTTGAATAAACTCTTTCCGGCTGTGATGCTCACATCAGGATTACCTGCAGCAGACCATAAATGAACAGCTCCTTCAGCCAGCCCTCAGCTGCCAAAAAAAAAAACAATTTTTACACTCGCTCTCAGGAAGAGTCTGACGTACACACGCCCACTCGCTCAGGCACACACTGGCATACAGACACGTACACACTCCGCCGAGGCTGGAGCTGGAGGTGTGTGTTATGTAACAGAGGGTCAAGTGGGCGCAAACACCCACCAGACCTTAGCGACTGCCAGCTTAGAGCGGCTGTGAACTGTGTTGTAGGACGGCTGACATTAATAAAGAGTTCCCATCTGAAAATATGTCAGACGCTCTTTGGATTTCACCACATTTCTGTTTAATTCTTGCCCAATGAGGATTTGTACACTGTTCCTCAAAAATCCTAGCATCATTATGTAGTGATGTTACACAGGAGAGTCTCATGACTTCTGGCTTACATGCGCAAACCATTCAGTCACTTCCGCTTATACGAATGAGTAACTCTAGCATCAAAAAGCAGAAGGATCAAAACACATGCACAGTGGCTCAGAGAGAAAGTTATAATTCTTTATTGACATTTGACTTTTATTTATTTTCAATCCCAAAGTTGCATTAATAGTGCAAGTATTGAACTGTCAAATATAGAACGATATCTGGCCCAGATGCACAATTTATTCAGACCGTTTATTTGATTGAAATTTTTATTTTCTAAATTTTATATTGTATTTTATCTATCTGTTTGTGTATAGACAACTCTTAACGTTTAAGAGGTTTGGCTTTTATTTTATAGCGAGCCCTTTTTGTATAGCAAGAATCTACAGCCATGCTAGCAGTTCTGTGAGGTTATGCTGAGGCACTTGGTGCTTTGAGCTAAGTGCTAACATCAGCATGCTAACATGCTCACAATGACGGCATTTACCAACTTAGTGTTATTTTCTGATTAGCACTAAACTCAAAGTACAGCTGAGGCTGCTGACAATGTCAATGCAGGAATGTTGTCATAGACCAAAGTATTGGACAAACTGACCTGATGATGGCACTTGGTGAAACGCTAAGGACTCACCAAAGTTATGACAATTCATCCTTAGGGCAACATCAACCCAATGTTACCCTGGTGGTGCTAAAGAAAAAGTCAGGGGATCAGTAAGATTCATCATGTAGGGACCATGAACTCAAAATTACATATCAATCCATCCAGTAGTTGTTGAGATATTTCAGTCTGGACCAGAGTGACGGACAGACAGACCAACATTGCCATCATTAGAGCCAAATCACTAGCATGGCGAAAAGGTTTGTATTCCTCAAAGTAGGGAATCGAGAAAGGTACTCATTTCATATCTCATTGGGACTAGTTTAGAAAAATTCGTAAGCTACGTAAGGCTGAATGCGGGCTTGCATCAATAACAAATCACGTTAACAAAATAAGAAATAATAATTCAAGATACACCCACTAGCTTGTTTTGGAGCTTTCAGTCACATCTCATGGTCTTCATGAGCGGATGAAGTTGTCCTGATAAGACGACTCAGTTGGCACCATGCAACCAAAGCTCAACACTAATGATACAACTGGGATGACAACCATGAGATGTGGTCGAAAGCTCCAGAAAAAAAGTTGTGGACTGGAAGTCGACCTTGAGTTATTTACTTACTTATTTATTGTCTAACTACCGTTTCCAAGGCCAAGAATAAACTTTGATATTAAGGCTCAACAAATCACATGCTTGTTGTGTAACAGACTTTAAAAAGGCTAATGATGTTTGTGTCTCTTTGTTTCTTCTCTTCTGTCTGCAGACGGGCACATCTAAGGCTGTGTTTAGAGCGCTTGAAATCCCTCGTTCCATTAGGACCAGATGCTAACCGGCACACCACCCTCAGCCTGCTGATGAAGGCCAGAGATCATATCAAGGTGTGTGTTCCATATGTAATAACCAATGTATCCATTTGTTGACCGCTGTGGTGGGTTTGTGTGTTATTTTTGAGTGACTGAAATGTCTTGGAGAAAGCACTGAGGGAACACACACACACACACACACACACACACACGGAGCAACCTTTTTGACATTTTTTCCTTGTGTTTTCTCTCTTCCCTCCCTGCAGAGGTTGGAGGAGAGCGATAGGAGAGCTCAGCATACGGTGGAGCAGCTACAGCGGGAGCGGAGACACCTGAGGAGGCGTCTGGAGCAGCTTGGGGTGGAGCGGACCCGCATTGACAGTACCGGCTCCGACAAGTCCGACAAGTTCGACTCTGACCAAGGTACACAGACATGATGCACTCACTGCTCTCCATGGAAGAGTTAATGTATCAGGTGAATCCAGATGAGAGCAACACAACAATAAACACGTAACTGACATAAAGCCTCGTATCATAACATATCAAAGTTTGGTTAGAAGCTCAAGAAAACAACAAGTCCTTTATCTTGTGGTTAACCGCTGTCCTCCCTTAAATTAAGTTATGCAAAATACTGCTGGTCAAAGTCAATGCTTTATAAATGCAATAAACAAACTTGCTGCTCTGTAAAACCATATAGATTACAAATGTTATTATCAGGGTTTGAGAGATGATGAATAAATCAGGCTATGATCACAATTGTGTGTCTTTTAGGACTTTAAGCCTGTTGGATCTAACTACTCTAAATCTAAATCACTGTAGTCTACACTATGGCCGTCAAAGTTATGTATGTGTGAACAATGAAACTTAGAATAAGGTAATGTCATATTCCCTCAACTGTTTCAAACATGGGGAACAAAGCGAAACACAATGTCTTTAGTAACAGAGATGGGCTGTAGGCGCACACAGTATCATGAACACACACATGCAGGGTTCTTTGTCTTCGCAGTTCACCAGTACGGGTGCTAGAACAAATGATGTACTATATTCAGTTATCATTCAGACCTATTACAATGTTTTGCGGCTCCTTTGCTCCAACAGAGGACCTGGATGTGGACGTGGAGGGCACGGACTACCTGCTGGGTGACCTGGAGTGGAGCACCAGCAGTGTGAGCGACTCGGGGGACGAGCGAGGCAGCCTGCGCAGCAGCTGCAGCGACGAGGGCTACTCCAGCGCCAGCCTGCTGCTGCTGCAGGACACTCAGGAGAGGGCCAAGCAGTTAGGCTGCAGCCTATAGACGGCACTGGTCACTGACCCAACTCCAGCTTCTTCTTCCCCTCAGCCAATCCCATCCCTTAGATTGCCTCACCACTCCCTGATCTCGCTCAGACCTCACCATCCCCCCCCCCTCTCTCTCCATACATACCAGGACTGACCAAGTCTGATGCCTCTCGTCCAGCCGGGCCTCTTCGGACTTTCTATTCCCACAACGACTTCCATCCAGACTTCAATACACCCGCCCACATTCAGCGGTCAGTCTTTAGGGTGTCCTCTGCTCTGCACCAATCAAACGAGTGGGATTTTAAAGACACTCCGCCCTCTCCGCCCATTCATCAAAAACACAACTTTCAGCCAGAGAATGTTACCACACAATATCCCACTGCCTCTTTTTCTATGCCTCAAGAGCCATGGGAAGCGCTTATGAGATTTCACCCCAACTTCACACATATGTTTTTTTCTGCCCCGCTCAGCAGTCAACCGTGTGCATGGTATTTTGCACTTACAATTGCTTTTGTAAACAAAAGCATTATTTTTATTTTATTTTTTTTATTTATTTATTTTATTTTTTTTCAAATGCTGTCTCTAAAGCTGTCTCTAACCCCCCCACTACAGATGTTGCAGTGATGTTACAAGATGAAGTAAGTGTTTGAAAAACATGCCCGTCGTCTACTGATCTGTAGGGACACTAAAGTATAACGGCGTGTTGTGTTAAACTGTTTTAGGCCGACCGCAACCCCCCCCCCCCCCCCCTTAGCCCCCCTTGGCATTGGCAGGCTCGTAACTACCCTGTCATTTTCTGTCCACACCTGCCATTCAGAGGTAAAAACATGTGTGCAGCATGAGAGTGTGAAGGGGCCGGGGGGATACGGGACGGTTTTAGGGGTGGGTTTGATGTTTTTCTGCCTCTCTCTGATGACTGTGGCGTTTTTACAGCATCCCTTTTTATCATAAATGTGTGTTTGTCACGTCTGAGCCTGGCGACGACAAAAAGGTCACTAGCAGGTTTGGAAAACTTTTTAACTGCTGGTATATCTTGGCAGGTGCTGGGACATTTGTGTGCACTACTTCATCACTGCCCCGTTCACCAGGTATTAATGAGAAGGGAGGAGCCTATCTACTGAGAGCAGTCGAGAGACTGGAGCACATTCCATTATGAAGAGAGGGCGGGCAGGTAGCATCGAGAGCATTACTTTTTACAAGATGTTCCTGCCAATTATTCATGAAGGTTCGAGACGAGCCGAGGCTTTGACTTTTCAGTGGGAACACGCGCTGTGTTCACACACACACACGAAAAGCACTAAAACGTTAAACACCGCAGATGTTTCCCTCCTTTGCCTTGCCTACATAGCTATTTATTGTTTCTGCAAAAAATGTTGTTGTAAATAGTTTACAGAAAGATCTCTATGTCTATCAACAAATGTATTTATTAGATATACTAAATATATAGATGAATATATAGAACTATATTTAATTAGTCATTGCTTCTGGTCTTCTTGTGAGGGTTATTGAGAGTTTCTAATGTGTAGTTTGTTTGCACAGCCTTGTCAACCCATAGAGTATTTAGAAATGTCTCTTGTGCCTCGAGGCTTTTGTGTGTCGAAAAATGAAATGTTTTCTCTGTGGTTGATCATAATTTTTTAGCTGTTTTCAAAGCCATCTTGCCCCTTTAATGTGGGAATAAAAGGACAAAAAAAATCGGAATAATTTATGATAAGAAAAAATGTAATTTTAAAAAGTATAAAAATGAGAGGAGCCGGTGGCCAGGGTTGAGCGGCGGTGATGATTCCTCTGGCTAAGCTGTGTTGCCTGTTCGCACATCCCCGTGCCTACGAACCTCAAACAAAATAGCTGCTCCGCCTCGTAAGAATTCAGCGCTTTTGTTTGGTTCCATAATCATCACGGGCAGGGAAAGGACTGCAGCTTATCGAATGTAGACGTCCTCGACCCTGCAAGTGTAGCAGCAGCAGCACAGTGCCAATGGAACGCCCCTGCTCCTGCTTTCCACCGCTCGCAAATCTCAGTTAAAAGCATGAAGATGAGTCGCAAAAAATAGATCTAGGAATGTTTAGTGTTTGATTGTGGAATGCTGCTTTTTTTTTTTTTTTTTTTTTTATTTCTTTTTTTGTCAAATTTAAACTTTTTGTAAAAACGGAGAGGTGCTGTGTAGCCACGTTATAAGAGAGACGGACTAAAGGGGACATGTAATGAAAATATGGTGTGAGTGGGCAGGTGTGTGTGTGTGTGTGTGTGTGTGTGTGTGTGTGTGTGTGTGTTTCGTCACTGTCTTCAGAGAGACATTTTGGGGTGGTTGAGGGTGGGTGGAAGACTGTAAGGCTACATTTCTGTTCTGGTTCATTTGTTTACTAGTTAAATGCAACAAAAAAAGTCCACTTTACAAAGACTTCATTTATTAAGCTAAGCATTAATGTCTGTCTATGGGAGTCTACTGTTTTCTCCCATGTTCCATCCATGGCCTGTTGTGAGTGTGTGTGTGAGTGTGTGTGAGTGAGTGAGAGAGAGAGAGAGAGAGTGACTCCCTCATGTTGCGTTGGCATCCAAGGTGCGGGCGAGGCAGGTATGCGCGGTGGGGCAGTGTGTGCGTCAACGATCGCATGCAGACTGTTGCTCTTCACCTCCACCCTTTCTCCCCTCTAAAAACGACCGGGTGCTCTCAGCATTTGCCTTTTTAAGAAGCAGGTGTGGAATCTCTCAAAGAACAAGACTACAGTCAGACCAGTTGTTTAAGCTACAGGTTTCAGCTTCAGGGGGAACATGTGTTCATGTGTATATTTGATTTTTGTCCCTGCATACAAAGTGGCTGATAATGCCTTAAAAACGGACACGACCTAACGGAAGTATATGATATGTCTGAGAATATATGATATATCGACATGTATCACGAGGGCCATTCCTTTTCATTGTGACCGTCACAGGCGTGGTGCTTTCATGCGTTACACAACACACACACACACACACACACATACAGCAACACACCGCGTCATAGCTCCATGAACATCGTCGTTGCCTTTCTCCTCAGAGAGGTCAAATGTGTGTTTATAGAACAATAACTTAAAGGGGGGAGTTTTGTGCACTTACTTTTTAAGAATTGGATAATTTGGACACTGTCGTCTAAAGAAATCACTTTAAATGTTGAGAGAAAAAAAAAAAAACTTTGAAAATGAGTCGTGGAGCAGCAATTTGTATTTGCCATTGATAGTAAAGGAATAAAACATTTGAAACCCTTGTTTACCTACCTATCACCTTGTCATTGTCTTAATTTGTGGTTCAAGTCACAAAAGCCTGCAGAGTAATTGGGAGCAAATTAAGGTTTTAACCAGAGAATCCAACACACAAGTTTCTCTTACAATGAATAATCTTCATGGAGAGGTTGAGTAGACGGTAATAAGGAGGTTTTTGCACAGCAGATGAAAGAGTCTCCACCAGGGGCTTCATCCTCGCCAGCCATCCAGTGTTCTTCAGAGTAATCTGCGCGCCAAATCCCAGGTTTGTATGATGACAGCCATCTGTCTGCTGCTCAATAACCCACACACACACACAAAAGAGAGCAAAGAGGGGGATGAGCATCTTGAAAAGCATCCCGCATCCCTTCTGGAGCTGTCTGGCTGCTGGGGGGGAGGAGAGCCATTGGAAAAGGCTTTTTTTCTCCCATCATGGGGAGTCCTAGGTCATTGTTAGCTCCAGTACCATTTCAATATACTGTAGGTCATTACAATCAAAAGGATTTACAATTTCAATGTTATTTCAATCATTGTTGAACAGCATTATAGTAATCATTAATTAAGTGTCATATCAATGTCCATAATTTCATCTCTACTCCTAACGGGTCATAAATTAGCAAACTGACATTAGATTAATTGTTAATTTAGCATCTAATCTAATGATCTCAAAGATGTTCATTCAAATCTGTTAACACAACCTTTTAGTACACATAAATAGAAACGCAAAATAACCAAATATCTGTAATTATTTGTATCAATAAAATATGAACACTGTTTTCTGTTAGGACGTTCCATATCAGTACACAACTAAACCATCAAGCAGTTGAAAGATGTCTACAAATATCAGATAATGATATATAATATTAACCATTGTTGAAAGCAGAGCTGTGTGTCTCAGCTGTATTCCTTAGACAGTGTGGTGTCGAGATCAAGACAGTGAGTCCACTATGTGGCGGGGGATGTGCAGCAGGGTCAGGACGGTCAAGGAGAGGTCTCTATGTGCTTTACTATAGTAGTATCTATCTATCTATCCATGTATCTATCTCTCTCTCTCTCTCTCTCTCTCTCTATCTATCTATCTCAGTGTTGGTATATTATAATCCTTCTGTCCCACTGTAAAGCACTTTTGGCGTCCACCAAAAGACACACCTTACGTTTAATCTGCACATGAAACACGAGACAGACACCGCAATGCAGCTCAGCCCGAGCCAAGCAGACCACGCTCCCGCTGAGTGTATTATTGCCATGGCCTACAGTCTGCTGGTGTGTATAGAACTGTTATTGACAGTAGCAGAGTTGTGTAAGGAGGTGTGTTTATTCGTGTCAGGGTCACAGGCCTACTGACCCACCTCTCGTCAGATTAGTCAAATACAGCAGTTTATCGGTGACCTGCACACACACCTTTCTTTGACCTTCGCCTTTGGAGTGCCCTGACCTATCTTGTGCACTCACACCTACGAACAAGCACACATGAAAACGTGCATTTAGACACGTAGTGCAGGGAACACACCCGCATAACACACACACACACACACACACCAAGGCATCACAATCAAACAGAAAATGTGACTAAACAACACAACAAAAGGCGAACAATTGAGGTAGTAGCGATATAATCCCTTATGAGCTTCAAGTCACCAGTGGAGAGCACATAATGACTGCCTCCACCCCCTTGGCTCTCTTCTCTCCACACTCATGGTTTGATGCTAATCACTGCATGATATTTGATGCTCAGTTTGTGTTTACACAAATACACGTTTTACTTTTTTAAACACTTGATCCTGTTTTGTTGTTTACTTTGACAAGTGTTTACCTTATATTTATTGATCATTTTGACGGAAAAGCACAGGTGGAACCAGTCACATTTATAATGACTGCATTCCATTTAGGTTAGTCAGTACCTGGGTTTATATGTGCATGTTGAGTACATCACACACTCTCAGCTGCTACTCTGAGCCTAGAGACACAGTAGGGGGAAACAGTTTGCTCCATTTCATTGTTGTTTTGGATGTTGTGTTTGGCTAACAGCTAACAGCTAACTGAACTACCAGTACACACACTGGTTTATTGTTTTGGATGTTGTGTTTGGCTAACAGCTAACAGCTAACTGAACTATCAGTACACACACTGCTGAGTACATCACTGTTGCGCCGCTGCTATGCGTGCAGAAATCTTAGTGAGACTTTTGTTTTTGGCAAGATTTTATGTCTTAAACAACGACTTCGAGACAATTGCCTGCTTACATCGCCGCTTGTTTTAGAGTTTGAATAAAGTGTGTTTTACAGCGACTTGCAACCCTTTCGTGTCTAGTCGGGGGGTTAGCCAATTGTGGGTTGTATTCATTCAATCGCACAATACAGTCGACTGAGTGCAACTTTCTAGTTGTAGCTGTACCTGCACTTTTAGTCAAAATGTCTGCTGTGGAAAAAAAGGTGTGAATGATAGCTCTGGACAACACACGCTGTAATGGGTTTTACAATAAATATGTAATCAGTCAAACTGTATCATCCACCATTTTGAAGGTGGTCCACAGTGTCTCACTGGAAACTGATTTAAAAAGATCCATGAGCAGTAGATGACACATAACACGTTACATATCCAAAGTGAAGGCATTTATCTGAGCCTTAGTGGATTTCATCCCCTCAGTAGAAATCCTGCAGTAGTGGCTGTGTGACAACCGCCTTACATGATCATCCTCCATCACAGCCGGCAGCTCATATCAAGAGATAGATATTTGAGTGTGTGTTTATGTGTGCTCTACATGTGTGTGTGTGTGCGTGTGTGTGTGTGTGTGTGTGTGTGTGTGTATATGCAAACAGATGGAGGAGGTCGTCTGCATGCTGGCTGAAAAGAGGCATCCCGGGGGACCTGAGTGAAGAGTGCACATCAGACAAGATCAGTGCATCCAAGACAGAACAAAAGCGAGGGGGCTGAGTGGCCTGTACGTGACACGTAGTAAAGCTCTTCACAGAAACCCTCGCTCGGCGAGTAACACCCGGTATATCAAAGCACCAAAGGGAGACGAGTTTCAAAGGTGCAGGGCTGCTGGAGAGGGTTCCGTGTCGGGACGATCTGGGAATTTCTGAGTTATTATATGCCATTATATATGTAAAGAAAACAATGCCACTCAAGGATTAACCATTAAGATATACAGCACAATAGTTCCCCTGCAGCACTGAATGCAATAAATCAAACTCAGTGAACAGAGGTGGATGTTGGGCTGCAGTTGACCAGCTGAAGTGTACTGACTGCCATGTGGAGCAGTGTTTACAAGTCTATTAGCTGAAACCACAGTGAGGATAGTGTGGCTGTGCTGGCAGCAGCAGCGGCTGGGACAGCAGAAGGAGACAGGTTAGAGTATAGCAGGCTGGTGAAGGGAGGATAACTGTGTTTGAATCCCACCGGGGGGGGGGACATGGTAAATAAATCATATACTTTCCCTACCCTCAGCACATGGTATTACAGCATGCAGGGTGAGGGACTTAATATGTCTTTCACTCCCTGACAATACATTATATTTATAGATTTTCAAAGGTGTAGGATCTGGCCAAACAAATAGGGGGACGTTTTTCACCTCTCCTGATACAATCTAAATTTACTGTCATTATCTACAAAAAGCACAAGAAGCTCCGGAGATGGACCTTCAGTTAGCGGAGCTGTAGCAACTTCAGTTGACCCTTCATGAAGCCCTGACCCCTTCTGGTACTCCGTCAGGCTGGCAATAATAATTACAGAGAGTAGCAGACAGAATGGTTTGAGAATATGCATTGCATTTGCACAACAAAAGGGCCTTAGATCTGACTGAAATAATTGGAATGCAGCCAACATTTGTTAGCTTTTCTTACATGTCAATATGTCTGCTGATAAAAAGGGTTTATTACCTTGCATTGCTCTACGTGTGTTTGTGTTGTTTTCTTTTTTACTCTGAAGAGGATATTAGAGGTTGTTTTTCTTTCACTTGTTCCACCATTTGCCATTGCCACAATCCCTGAAAGCTTCCTGTCTGTTTCTGCTGGAGGAATAGCGCCCTCTTCCTGTTTATTGTTGTAAAACACCACAGCATATTTCATGTGAAATCCAACCAGTGGCACTGTCTGCATGCAAAAAGCAGTGTAGGGTCTGCTCAAGGCTGCTAACTGTGGTCTTGTTTATTTACACTGTTTTCTCAGTATTCATGTGGTAGTTTATTGATGCAAAAACATTGCAAGTTGTACCTGTTCATTGAGTAATACACACCCACACACACACCATATGGTCTCAATTCTCAGTCCTGAATATCTGCAGTGGTGCTCTAGATGTTGAAAACTGTCCAGCTGAATGACCGTAGTGGCTGACCAATACCATGACCAAGTCTATTATAGACCTGCAGGCCACTGTCTGTGGGCTTAAATGCATGATGTCTACATTATATGCACAGTCATTTCCACAACTATACACTCAGAGAGTTGTTTATTTAGCCTACCCTCATTGATATAAACCTGCCTGTAAAACACAATACAGTTCAACAGCACCACAAACTACATCCTCTAAAATGATCATACAGTTGAATCAATGCATCTCTAAAACAAATCTAAAAACAAAAGCTGAACATAATAACCTTCATAGAGATATATTGCAGGACTGTTGTGTTGGCCTGCGTTAGATGGAGAACCTTTTAAACTGGCTACTGCGTCTGTATGTTGAAGACAATGACCTCAGTATGAAGAAGTTATAACATAGACGTGGTACCCTGTAATAAGAGTGAGGATGTGACTCTTGTTCACACGTGCTCTGCATCAGATCAGGTCTGCTGCACAGGTGAAGCACCACAACTGATGCTTGAGCACCCTCTAGTGGTTAATATATGTAAGTAAAAAGCAAACGACTCCTTCCAATGTCATCTATTTAAAATGTTTACATTGCTTACATTGCTTACTGAGTTCCAAATCCAATACATAAAAGACTAAAATTATATATTATATTGACATGATTCCAGTTTTCAAGAGATTGGACCACATTAACATGACATGAAGGAAGAGTATGTGTTTAAAAACAAGGTTTCAAGACTGACTGTAGTGTTTTGTAATGGATACGTTGTTGCTGCACAATACTTTCTCCTACTGTGTTGATTTACGGCCAAATAAAGCAGTTGACTTCTGGTATCAAGAACACTGTATATTATTATATTATATTATCTTCCACTTAGAAAAGCATTATTGTTGAGGTGGCTTTTACTTAGCTCTCTCTTCTTTCCCATTGTAACAGTAGCATCAACAGAAATGGCCAGAGGAGATCTAGGATGACTTGGCAGTGGCTGTGCTGTTGCACATTTTCATTGTTTTGGGCTGTTTTCCAGACTGGCTGTGTGAACAGGGGCACTAGAGGCGCCGTGTGCGGTGTTTGTAGGTGGTGAGGCTGCAGTCTTGTGGGTGGGGGTGTTCTCTCCTATGCATGGGCGTGGTCCTTCTCCTGCCTCCGTCCTGGATCAGGACCAAGGCCAGCGACAGCTCTGCGCAGTACTTAAACACCACACAGGAAATACGTTTTACCAACAGAGATACTCTTTCTCGGGACAAATGTATAAGTCATATTTGGATATAATGTTGACTCAATAAGGCATCAACTTCTGTCCACCTTTGGTTGTCTGGAAAATCTGCTTTACGCATCTTAAGGGAACATGAATAGTTCAAGTTATCCAAGTTATAGAGATACAAAATGCTGATTCCTGGTGCTTGTGATGACGTTTAGCGAGGACTGCAGTGTTATGTGTGAAAAAAAATCATAACTTAATATTTTTCTCATTTATATAAGGACGTGTTTTGTTGTGATAGATATGACGATGACCGACAGGGGGTCACAGTTACATCTAATTTACAATTTATAAATCCATCACGTTCCAGCGCTGCAGATGACAGTGCGATGATGTGGGAATGCCAGAACCAGCCACTATAATGAGTCTCATCCCGTATTCCGATATTGCGGCGGTGGTTTGGGGTGGATGAGGGCGACTGGATGCAGACTGCAGCACCAAAAACAAACTCTGGCGCACAGCTCACGCATCGATCCCATTTCCCATTCTGCTGGGACAGCAAAGAAAAACTGCAATGACAGTGGACAATGTGGTCTAAGGTAACATGAGATAGTCCAGTGGGATGATACATGTACTGGGAAAATGAGATGACACGTGATTCTATTACAATGTGATTGTATTTGAATGTCATTAAGTCAGAACATGAAAGGAAAGGGCGCGTTAATAACTTAATGAAAGTGAAGTTCAATAAGCTCTCGGGTCAAACAATAAAGCCCCTTGTACAAAACGTGTTGTATATAGTTGTTGTGTGTTGGTGCCTGAGCCACAAGGCTGAAACGAGGAGCTGCATGAGTGAATTCGTGTCTCCCCAGAGGGTGGAGGCTTTCTGCAAAAGCTTGCAGGTTTCCCCTCGTCTTCTGTTGTCCCTGCGTCAAATGATGCGCCGGCGCCTTCGCTATAAAAGCACCTGTTCGGGCCAGACATCACTCGCATCTCACTTGGTCTCTCGCTCACACACTCACCCTCACGCACTCCTGAACTCCACACGCTCACTCTCTCTCTCCCGTACAGAACAGTGGGACCGGACACCAAAAGGAAACATGAGTTACTCCAGCGATATTTACAGCAGCAGCTCCTATCGGAAGATCTTCGGAGATGCCCCCCGGTCCGGCCGCGTGGGTCTGGGCAGCAGCAGCAGCCCGTCCCGCCCGCACTCTGCGGGATACCGCAGCAGCCACCGCACCAACTATGGTTCCTCCCCCGGGATGTCCTCCACCAACTACCGCAGGACAGCGGCTTCTGGCCGTGTCTTCTCCTCCATGCCGGACTCTGCGATGGACCTAACCCAGTCCACCGCGGTCACCAACGAGCTCAAGATCATCCGCACCAACGAGAAGGAGCAGCTGCAGGGCCTCAACGACCGCTTCGTGTCCTTCATTGAGAAAGTGCACAACCTGGAGCAGCAGAACAAAGTCCTGGAGGCAGAGGTCACGATGCTGCGTCAGCGCCACAATGAGCCCTCGCGCCTGCACGAGCTGTACGAGCAGGAGATCCGCGAGCTGCGGGCGCGCGTGGAGGAGCTGACGCACGAGAGGAGCCAGATGCACCTGGACTGCGTGCAGATGAACGACACGCTGGAGCACGTGAGGGAGAAGTTGGAGGAGGAGACCAAGCTGCGCGAAGAGGCGGAGAACACCCTGAAGGGCTACCGGAAGGACGTGGACGACGCCACCATGTCGCGCCTGGAGTTGGAGAAGAAAGTGGAGTCGCTGCTGGACGAGATCGCCTTCCTCAGGAAAGTTCACGAGGAGGAGCTGCTGGAGCTGCAAGCGTCTCTGCAGTCCACTCAGGTACACCTCCCACTGTGTGCTGGTGACCTGTAGGTCCCAACACACAGAGACGTGGTACCCAGGGCCACTTGTCAGATTATCAATAGTTTTCAATGTCACACTGCCAACAAATACTCCTCACTCCTTATGGCCTTCAACTTTGATCATATCAAAGTTAACATCCACACATGTTTGACTATAAGCGAATGTAATATTGCTACATGGAACTGTGGCTTGTGAACTGACTTTACAGTGACCGTATCAAACGTGATGTGAGGTTATTACCCGTACTCCCTAATAGACTTCAACATTCACCATACAATTATTGATTTGAAAGAAATTACCTATACACAGGTAATACTACTTAGTCAAGTGCACAGGTCCACTACAACTGTTGTAGGCCTATGTATGATGTTGTTTATATATTAGGCAGTTTCCCACAGTCTTACAGGAATTCAATAACCTGTTTGTTTTTCTGTGTGCACGACAAACTGCGTCCTCCTCAAACTAAACATTGCGCACTTGATAATTGATGACACTGCAGTTCCGTTTCAGCCCCACGCGCTGTCCTTCCCTCCTCCTCTCCTCATATAGGTTTATTGAGCGTCCCTGCAGCGTCCCGCGCGCTCTGTCACGCCCCCGCTCAAACTTTAAGATGTTCTGACTTGTAAAGAGTGTTTTCTTTCACGAGTAGGTACCGGTCGTCGATCCCGGTTTGTGGGCTGCAAAGTATGCCGTAAATCTGATTTCTCTGTGGGAATATTACGCGAGTATCATGCTGCAGTGGTGCCACTTCAAATATAAATACTCTAAGCGCAACGAGGTCATTATAAACTTTACGCTATTAGTCCAGCTGGCGTTTCGTTTGGGGTTACTGGCGATATTTTCATAAAAGAAGGCGAGGGAAGGGGGGCAGAGGGGGGAGGGAGGGAGAAAAATGCGGAGAAATAGCGCATAATCCAGGGGTGTGGTCGTCCCAAAGGGGCAGCTGGCAGGACAAACCCCGTCAACTGCACTGGCAAGCAGTTATTTGCGTAGTTTACAAGCTAAACAGTTTTTAACAGCAGCGCGACAGTGAAAATAATGTCACTGTTTGACAAAAAGTTTTGGTATGTGACGTATATGATATGAGGGCAGCAGCAACTATCACCGCTTTGAGTATAAATCAATTCATTGAATGTGCAGTAAGTAACTGTTAAATTAATGGAGTGGAGTTATGGTTGCTGGGTAGATTTCTCCAGGGTTTCTCCTCTTCCCTGCAGGGAATATAATTGCCATGTAAACTATTGACAGCACAGCTCACATGGCAGCAGAGAAGTCTCAGTCAGCAGTCGATTCATCAGTCCAGCAGCAAGGCAACACATTATACATACATGTCACCAGAAGAGATGCAGTGCATCTATAGAGGAGTGTGCAATGAACACAGCTGTAACAGAAAATGTAATTTATCTATAGGCAGTTTATACTTTATTACATTACATCACATGTATGCATTATATTATTTAATACAGTTAGATTTTAAATCTGTATCTGAGTTTGTGTAGTATAAAAAGCACATTTCCAAGTTCACTGTTTTCATCGAACTGGTCATTTTCATCAGTTACAGGTGGTCCAGTTGTTCAAAGGACAGGCACAAATAATCGGTAAAAATCAACCTAAAATAATATATAAGCATTACGCAAAAACACAAAAGCATTTAAACAGAATGTGAACAATTATACAGTTTTCTAAATGTATACTGCACATACATAGTGAAATATAAGGCTTATTGATTATTCAGATTTAGTTTGGTGCTGCCTTTATTTACAGATGTTATTAAACCTACTAATAATGAGTACTTGTGTTAAAAAAAAACCTCTCATACATCCAGGTGTCAGTGGAGATGGACATGAGCAAACCGGACCTGACTGCCGCCCTGAAGGACATCCGGGTTCAGTATGAGAACCTGTCAGCCAGGAACCAGGCCCAGGCAGAAGACTGGTACCGCTCCAAGTTTGTTAGCGTGACCGAGGCCGCCGCCCGCAACCAGGACGCCGTCAAGCACTCAAAGGAGGAGCTGAGCGAGTACCGCAGGCAGGTGCAGGCCCGCACCCTGGAGATCGAGGCCCTCAGGAGCCATAATGAGGCCCTGGAGAGGCAGGTTGCCGAGATGGAGGATCGACACAACAATGAAATGGGAGATATGCAGGTACGGCAATGACCCATTTTAGTGTGTGTTACGATTTGATTAACCTTTAATTAAGCAGGTATAGTGAGACACTTGTTAAATGGAGACCTGCGTGGCCGAGATGGCAGCATAAAAGTTCATGAGCAATGGGGTCGTTTTTCACAGAACTAACAATAGTCTTGAATTCCGCCAGAGATATCACACTCATGCATTTAAGTCTCCAGGACACAGTGGACCCTGATGAAGGACACAACCGGATTATGTGTCTTTTATGAATCACTTTAATATTCAAAATGAACGCACTCCTTATTCAGTGCGACAAGACAACAGTGAAAATCTCTACATTCAATTTTCAATCTACCTCTATTCACGAGAGCATGAATTATTAGGATGTCATAATATGACTTTGTGTGTGTGTAGAATACCATTCAGGAGCTGGAGAATGCTCTGCGCAGCACCAAAGGAGAAATGTCCCGTCACCTGCGTGAATACCAGGACCTGCTGAACGTCAAGATGGCGCTGGACATTGAGATCGCTGCCTACAGGTGGGCTTCACTACAAACACAACCATAATCCATTTGGGAGAGTGAACTAACCTGAATTCAAGTCTCAGCTTTTACACTGTGCAACACCTGCTTAACGAGTTTCACTTCCACTCATTTACTTGAAGCATTTTTTAGAATTAAACTCTCCTGCAGCGTCTGGTGGCCTGGTTTTTAAGACGCAAAGTGTACAACTGTATAAATACTCCTCTCTCTTTACCCACAATCCCTGTTTATCTCAACAGTTAACTGTCCACAAAATAATAATTTCCTTTCCATTTTAAATGTGTGGTTTAAAATGCTTGCATTAATAGTCCCTCTCGGTTCTTCTCCCACTGTAATAAGATGATAGAAGGGGAAACCTTACAATGATCTCACTCAGCAACTGTGGTAATGTTTTGGGACAAAATACCAAAACAGAGCAGAGGTGTTGCCACTGATACTCCAGTGACATTAGATCCCTCAGCAGAGTAACACTGAGATCATTTTAGCAACGAAACAAGACCATAGGTGACGTCATCTCTTGTCCCCCGTCTGTCTGAGCAGGAAGCTGCTGGAAGGCGAGGAGTGCCGCCTCAGCTCTGTGGGCGGGGCCATGGTCCAGTCGGGCTACCCGGGCTTCTCCTACATGTCAGCCCGCACCTACTCCCTCGGAGCCTACAGGAAGTCTGAGGCCAAGCCTGAGGAGGAGGAGGAGGAGGAAGAGGAGGCCGAAGAAGAGGTGGAGGAAGAGGAGGAGGAGGAGGGAGAGGAGAACAAAGATGAGGGAGATGAGGGAGATGACCAGGAGGAGGGTGAGGGAGAGGAGGAGGAAGAGGAGGAGGAGGAGAAGCAGAAGGAGAAGGAGAAGAAGAAGGAGGGCCCCACCGGCAAGACCAGCAAGAGCTAAACTGCTAGTGTCAACATTATCTTCATCACAATAACACATTCCTCATCCTCATTCCAATCACTTATATGGATCTGGTCTCTGTTCACATCATCTCTGTCAAACACAGTTCTGCACACCGTCGGTGTTTTTCTGTCTCTTTAATTCAGAAGTGATTCAGCTTTATTGGGCGGGGCTTTAGAAGGAAATAGATGTATTACAATGACAGAAGAGTTGGAGTCATAAACACGCTCTGCAGAGGTCGTCATTATTTTTACGTCACATTATAACAGAGGGATGTGAGGGAAAGTTAGCATGATGCCACTCATTTTCTTAAGTTTCAACCAGGATGATTTTTCCTCACGTGAAGCAACAATAAATGTGCCATTAATGATCAATATTTACAGTAAGAGCAATCAAAACCTTGAAAGTAACAACTTTTGTCAGCACACAGACTTTAAGAAAAAACGCACAGAGTAACAGCCAGTCCAACTTTTACGGTGCTATTTGATTTTTACATATAAAAGTTGGAGAGTACGTTAAAAGAGATTTTATCATAGACCGAAGCTCCACCAGCTCATTCCTGAATGCTTGTTACACGTTTAGAGGACAGACTGCTTCTATTGGAGCTGTGAGTCAAACCCCACATTTCCCACTACATCGCTCTGTAGTTCTGCATCTCGTCCCACCATGACAAATGGAAATGTACCACTTACCATTCAAGCCCCTTTCTCATTCTCTTTAATTCACTGCAGTGTCACAGCAAGTGTGTTGGGAGGGTGGGTGGTGTTGCCAGTTGCTGGAAAGGAGGAGTGCTGAAGGTTCTCCATGAGGGAGTGCATCTTTGGGAATGAAAATGTAGAGTTTAAATTGCCGCTATATATATACAGTATATTTATTTTTTGGATTCTTTGATTGATTCATTTGTCAATGAATTTAACGGCTATCACACCTGTCAGAGTTTAACATTGATCTGCAAGGTTATTCTTCTTCCCTACATTTTTTTTTGTTAGAGAAAACCAACCCTTTTTTATTTCTCCTCATACAAATGTATGCTTTTGTTTTAATTTAGCTGGTTAAAGGATTCGAGGTGAAGGTAAGCGTGGCTGTCAGTGTCAGGCAGCTGATGATGACACTGACGGCCCTCAGCTCAGACTAAGTGGCAGGTGGGGCAGAAGCCGCAGGAGTCGTGGCTGAATGGTACAGAGTCGCATATAAGGGCTACTTTCACCATAACCCCTTCTATCACTCTGAACGGTTTAATTTCACCAGTGTTCATCAGTCCATCCTCTTGGAATTTTCTGTTTGACAAATGAATCAACCAATGGGCATGAATGCATGGCCTGACTCTTCAAGCTTGAGTATCTGCTGGATGGGATAGATTTTTTGCTTGTTGTGTGTTCAATTAAAAAACTTGCCTTAATCATGACTGAAAGTTAAAATATAAAGATATGTTCCCCTCCATCTCACCTGTTTCTTGAGAGGCTGAGGAGTGCTGACAATTTCCAGACCTCTGCTATACAACTGTGACTGTATACGTGCTGCTATCTCATGCAGTGATATTCCTCTCAAAGCCAAATAAAGACATTTATTAACCAAACATTTGCTGCATCTCTGCGTCTTTAATGTCGTGAGAAAGAACTGACATTTGTAAAGGAAACTACAGATGATAATAGTCTTCCGCTGCTATTTTGTACCTGATTGGACATTCTCTCTTCATATTTATGTATGTTCATACTTGCAATGGTGTTATGCAGCTGGAGTCTTTCCCAGCATGCCTTAGCATGAAAGGCAGTTGACTACAAGGCCATCATGGCTCATCGGACCCGATTTCAGCAAAAACTATGATTTCAGCGACGAGGGACAAATAATTTGAATGAATTAAGAAATGTAGCAGCTTGACTTTCCTTATTTTCATTTATCAAGGTTATGCACTTTTTTCCCGTTTACCTTCTTCTACAATCCAAATAGTCAAGCTAGCATGAATACTGAAAAGTAGCCCGTCGACGCCTCTGGTTGCGTCTGTCGATAATCGTCGCCTTGAAGGTTTTATTCTTGCACAATATACCAGGACCTTGAAACTAATGCAGCAAAATGGATTTAATCATTACTATTATAATTTGCACCTGTGATGTTCCCTCTGTGACATGTCAAAAGGCCTCTGTGGAAAAGGTCTACTGATGTATCAATTACAACCTATTCAGGTCTCGATCAGTTAGAGCTGTCTACTTATTTACGTTTCCTGGCTCAGGAGTACAGTAATACTTCCAATCCCAATCTGCCGGCCTCCTCAGCCTTCAGGTTGAAGTCCACCTGATTGATGGGCGGAGCTGCATAATGTCTGCCGGGTGTCGCGATCAGCTCATCGCAGCTTCTGCCTGCCTGCACACAGAGGTGAAAGATGGGGCTGGCTAAGATGGATGATAGTTGCCTATATGCTTGCCCACCAGCACAGCTGCTCACACACTGTAGTCCTGTGTGTGTGTGTGTGTGTGTTTGTGTGTGTGTGGGAGGGAGAATCAGCACAGCGGCAAAAACATTATCAGCACTAACAGACAATCAATAAATCTGTCAGAAAAGCAGGCGAAAGAAGCAAGGACAAATGTTTTGGTCTGAAGCATTAAATGAAAAGGAACACGCTTGAGTTTCAGGAAAGGAAAATGCAACGTGATACAACAAAGTAAAGGAAATGCTTCCCTGGACGTGCAACAATCGATAAGAATTTAGTTCACCATAATGCTGCATTAGACATAAGGATCTGTGTATTGAGTTTAACTTCACATTTGCATCTTTTAGTGTATTTCTATCCTAAGGTCGCGGTGCTTTCTTGCTGAGAGTCTTATGAGAAGAGGAGAGTTTGAATCAATCTCATCTAACTCTCTGCAAGCAAACTAATAAGCGTGTTTCCCTTCGTATTAAACATTTCCTTTAAATGGTACATCATTTAAATTAAAGACTGTGCCGTACACAGCTTTGTTATCAGCCTCTAACTATGAAGATGAAATACTGCCACAGTTACATTAAAAACATTAATCTTTCATTTGAATTAATAATGTGTCTGTAATTGTAAATCAATACAGTGTATTGTGTAAAAGTCCCTGAGGTGCTGCATGCTGGACTTAGAATGGTTGATGTATCTTTCAGCCGTGACACAAGGAGAGTTATGACTTGGCATTGACGTCTTCGATGAAAAATTAGACAGGGAGTGTGTCAGAGGGCGGATTTATTAAAAACTCAAGAGTCTGATCACTCCCACACCTCTGTGGGCTCGTGGCCCGCTGCTGGCTGGATTGTAGAGCTGTCCTTGATTTGGCCGTGCCGCTGCTGTGTGCGTGCTGAGCGCTGCTGTCAGCATATTCTGTTGTTGTGGAGGTGCATACATAATTGAACTGGTCATCTCCTCCTCCTCCGCTGGCCTCCCGCGAGACCCTTTGAGATAAAGCAATAAATACTCAACCTCAGCATTTAACAACCACCCTTCCCTGTTTCTGTTGCTGGGAGTCCACAAGCAAGTAATTCCATTTCCTCTGAGTTAAACACAGAGATACTGGCAAACTCACTTCACTGCAACCATGCCACTGCAAGTGCTCACATCCTGAGTGGACACTTGGTTTGCTTGGTGGTTCTGGGGGGTTTCTTAAGCAAATTAAGTGTTTCAAAGCTTTTAGTGTGCACAAATCAGGAATTTACTTTGTTTAAGCTGTAAAAGTTAGCATTTGCCATCGAAGAAAGTTGCATTCTGTCGGCCTTGTATTAGTTTCCAGCTCCTTTTCAGTTCAAGGTTCACGATTCACTCCTATTGTTCGTTGTTTCTCTCTGTCTTGTCCTTCCTCTCTGTCTCCCTTCACCCTCCTGTCTCTTTGTCTGTCTGTGTCTCGCTGTCTCCCTCTCTCTCTCCCTGTAACTCCACGGCTATATATAGACTTCTGCATTGCAGATGTCCCAGAGCCCTGCAGATCTGAGGGAGCTACTGAAGAGTCCCAGCCCAAAATTTGGGCTGCCTGGCATGACACACACACACACACAGAGCAGAAACAGCAGAGTAACTGTCCACTACAGGATGGGGAGAGTTACAGCATGACAGAAGTCTTCACAGTACATGTGCAGCGTGCTGTGTAACACGGCTGAGCAACGTCCGAGGCGTCACACTGCAGCAAGGATGAAGTGCCCCCACAGAATAGAGTCGAAAGTACTGCAGTCATAATCTGTGGGTGGGTGGGTATGTGAGTGCATTCTTGTTGCCAATGCTTCTGAACCAATTCTCCATGTTCTTACATTCATGTTTTCTGCTGAGTCATGGCTCCATATTTTCAGAAGCTGTAGAAAGGTTGAATAATGAATAAACACACATTCAATAACAGCGTTAATCAAATAGTTTGTTTATTGCATTAAATGTATTTTGGACGATGCAAGTCATGCAAAGTGATTGTAATTAATCATTCAGATGTCAGTCAGGGACAGATACATTTTAAATATTGAGAATAGAATAGTGATGAGGAGGGGAAATCAATGGAGCCTTTCAGACATTAATATCGACGTTCACTATAATTAATTACCTGCAACAACTTACTTACAGAAATGACAGCAATGGTGACAAAAACATCTTTATTGTTCTCTGATTAATCACAAAAACAGCATTCAAATTACAGGTCAACGTAGGAAAAACTCAAAGTGCTTTACAGTAGAAATAGAAAGGCATTAACTTAAACAAATTGACAGAAAGCCAAGATAAAACAAAAATAAATGTAATATATTTAGGCTATTATTTAAAAAGATTAAACTAAAACAGAAGAGAAAAATAAGCATGCCTCAATGAAATACATAGATGAAGTAAGTGAACTGTATATTGACAGCTTTATTAGTCTGTTTAGTTAGTCAGTGATCTGTAATTTTGGATGTGTTGAACATCACCTGCACAGGTTTATTCCGTCTCTTCTCCATGATGATGCAAAGATCTGCTGAGTCATGATTGAGTGTGCAGAAGCTGTGTTCAAAGGTAACATTAGCAATGCATTTTGGGAAAAAAAGTCAGACAGTGGTGCATTGTAATAAAATATTTTCAACTATGTTAGTCTCAGATTCTGCTGCCCCCCCCCCCCCCCAAACAAAGTGGTCTCTTTCATTGGTGCTCGTTCCAGTGATCCAGCCTGTTAATACCATCATCACTGGCTACTGAGACAGAGAACACCCCACAGTATGATGTCACGTCCTATTGAACTGTTGTATTTGGCCTGCAATGCTCACCCCCCTTTCACTTCTGCTGCAACAGCGGTAGGGCATTAAGTATTAATAAATGCTGGCTGCTGTCAGGCCAGAGAGCTGAGACACACACACACACACACACACACACACACACACACACACACACACA